ATTTATAGAAGGCTCCAACAGGACCATCTGGTAATTTCAAGATCAAATATGCTACTATAAATATATCTCAGTTTTCTTATTATTTTGAAAACTTCTAAACAAATCATAAAATTTCAACTCTTACCAAACTGCTCAAAAAAATTAAAATGTATCCTTTGGCCTCTGATGACATACTAAATACCAAGCATACAATTAAGTAATTAGAGCAAACATAGTTTTTATTGCTTTTTTTGCTAGGGTGTTTTTTATTTTTATCTTTGTGTGGATACATCAAGTTTGGAAAGTGCTAGATCAGGGGTTCTCAAGTGATAGCGCCTGAACTAGGAGCACCAGCATCAATAGAAATCCTCTGGCTCTAAACCAGACTTCTAAATCAGATATTCTAGACTGGATGAAGATTAGCAAAATGAATCTTAATAATTCTTTCAGGTGATTCTGATGCCAGCTAACATTTGAGCCTAAATCTTCTACTAGTTGGGCTAGAAAATACCATACAAGCAATTTCAAACTAGTATCTTGAGATTTGCCTCCGTCCTACAACACTGGAATCTCAATACTAGGAGAGGTTGAGGCAGAAGGTTTGCCAGTTTAAATTACATAGCAGGATTCGATTAAAAAAAAAAAAAGCTAGCTTAGTGTGACATACACCTATAAACTCAGTTACTTGTGAGGCAGTGAAGAGGAACGCAGTTTAAGGCTGGCCAGTACAAAAAGGTAACAAGATCTCATCTCAGCAAATAAGCTAAGTGTGGTGGTAATCCAAGATAAGGAAATGCATGAAAGGATCCAAATCTGAAAAAAAACAGCAACTAAAAAAATAACTAAGGCTAAAAGGCCGAGGTGTGACTAAAATGGTAGAAACACGAGGCTGCAATCAAACTCCAATACCATGAATTTAAGAAAGATACATACAATGATTTTATGATCAATAATATAGATACAAACTGATCATTCCTTTTAATACACCACTCTGCCTTGCTACAAATTGACATTACTTCCCTGGCATTAAATATATACAGAAATATACACAGAAATGGAGCTGTGGCTGAAGTAATGGAGTACTACTAGCCTTGAGCAAAATGCTCAGGAATAGTGCCCAGGCCCTGGCATACACAAAAAAGTAATGATATATACTAGTGGGGTACTAGTTACTCATGTCTGCAATCCTAGCTCCTTAGGAGGAGGCTGAGATATGAGGAGTGAGGTTCAAAGTTTGCCCAGACAGAAAAGAACATGAGACTTGTCAGTTAACTAGCCAAAAGCTGGTAGTAGAGCTGTGGCTCAAGTTGTAAAGTGCCAGCATTGAGTTTGAAAAAGCTAAGAATAGTGTCTATGCCCTGAGTTCAAGCCCCAATACGGGTACCAAAATAAAATAAAACACATTCACACTATTTTGAGTTTTGATATAGAAGGAAATAACTTCATCATACTTAGAAGTTTTCAAATAATAGAAATACATTGGTAACCCTGATCAGTCTACAGAGTAGCTAGGATTATAAGAGTGAGCGCCATCAGCTCTCAACAACAATATATTTTTAAACACATATATTCTCTAAATTTAAACTTATGCTTTAAAAAACAAACAAATCCCCAAAACTGTTATCTCCTTGACAGAAATTAAAAAAACAAACTGTAATTCCAAAACTCAGATAAACATTTAAACATCCTTCTACTCTTTGGTATTTTGCTTAGTTCTTTCAATAGTGATAAAATCCTACACATAATTTTACAAAGATTGTGTTATAAAACGGCATAGACTACTTGTGAATTTTTAAATCCCACCTAGTAGGATAGCACTGTATTATTTATGGTCAGGCTTTAGTTTCCACTGGAAAGAAGAAATTTAGTTTTTCTCAATGGGACTTTCTGAGAGTGAGTCACCTGCAACATATTGCTGCTGCTTCATGAGAACTTTCTATATAAACTATACAAAAAGATATAATTTCACAGGAAATGAGGAGATACTTCTCTCTGAGAGAATGAGGCACTCTTGATAGCAAAATCAATTTGGCAATTATTTGGATGGGAGCCAAATACTAATAGAACTAGACTATCTTTCCAATTATCCACTACCTCAAAAATTTTAGCAATTACTTAGTAGTCAATTCAAAATATTCTATGAAGAGGTCAACTTGTATTTTTCTTCAAACTGAAGAGAAGTCTAGCCTAAATCAACATAAAAACAGATTTTTCCTTTTAAGACTCATCTTTTGGTAGTCTCTATCTACATGGTATAATACACATTTTCCAAAGGCATGAAAATGCTTTTTCAAAATACACACACACACACACACACACACACACACACACACACACACACACACACACACACACACACACACACACACACACACACACACACACACACACACACACACACACAGTCCATCCATGCTTTTTCAAAATACACACACACACACAGAGTCAGTCAGTCCATCCATGCTTTTTCAAAATACACACACACACACACACACACATACACACAGTCAGTCCATCCATCCATCCCCAGGAATCTGAGCTAGCTTATTAGATGACATTGACTATATTTTTTATTCCTCACTTGATGACTGGCTCCAAGGACCTTTATTTTGGGCGTAGACATTGTTTAGTTTTTCTTTACTGCCATAAAATATGGCAGTTTTCCTTATTCCTTATTCTTTTCTGTGGCAGAAGTAAAGTTGTGAACTCTGGGCTTTGCATCTCTTAGCTTTTATTGCTTTGCCTCCAGAACTTTTTGTTCTATTATTTTTCTCTAGTAGGTCCTGGGGCTTGAACTTAGGACCTAGGAACTGTTCCTGAGCTTTTGTGTTCAAGGGACAGCTTAACACTTAACCACTTTAAGCCACCACCCCACTTCTGGGTTTTTGCTGGCTAATTGGAGATAGGAGTCTCAAGGATGTTCTTGCCTGGGCTGGCTTTGAACTGAAATCCTCAGATCTCAATCTCCTGAGTAGCTAGGATTACAGGCATAAGCCAGCAGTGCCCAGCTGTTCTGGTTATTTTTAAGGCGCATGGGCTGGCCCAGACTGCAATTCTTCTATTTATGTTCCCCAGTAGCTAGGTTGACTAGTGTATCCCACATGCCCAGCTTTACTGAGATGGGGTCTTGAAAACAAAAATTTTGCCTAAGTTAGACGAAAACGGGCACGTTCAGGGTGGTATGGCCATAGACAAATTTTGCCTAAGTTAGTAGTAAATGAAGAACATTGATTTCAACAGATGACAGTGACAAGCATGGACTGGCTCTGAACCACAATCCTCAAAAGTAGCAAGGAATACAGGTATGAGCCACCAGTACCTGGCCTCATTCCTGAATCCTGATAGTAAACTCCTGTCATCAACAAAGACTTAAGCTATGCATCTTCCTAGGTGCTATTATAGTTTTCAATGTCTATTAAGCATATGTAACACAATATAAGATTATTTAACCAGAGACAGAAAAAGAAGCAGAGCAATGACAAAATCCTATCACATTCCTTTTCATACTGATCAAACTATTCTTTCAGGTAACAGCTGCCACCTACTATGCACATAAATATGAAATTAGGCTTAAGTAGAGTAGGTTAGAATCCATGCTTGGTTCACATGATTGTTTCTAGCCTTTCAAAAGATTAGAGCTCATTAAATATTACTAAAATTCTAATAAAATTTAATACTAAAGTTGAAACAGGGGAATGTGAATTGATAAATAAGTAACTAAAAAGTATGAGTTTTCTTATGTAAGAAGTCTAGAAGAAGACGGACAAAAGTTTTCATGTGATATTTAGCAAATTGCCCTCTGAATTTGAAGATGTACCTTTCCCTTTGCACAAAACTAGGTAGACTATACTGTGAGAACATTAGCCTTCAAAAAGTAGATGAAAGAATTCATCAAAGACTGGGAGGATGTCACAGGTATCACAGCATCGCAATTATTTATATCAGGTAACCAAATCAAATGGTTTATAATTATCAAAAAGAATCACAGCAAAAAGAGGAAAATACATCATACAGGTAAGTTCGGAACTCTTCAAATTCATTTTGGCAAAGAGAAAAAAAATAGCATCAATATTATCTTATTCACTAGAAACCTGTGATTGCAATTTACACATATTGCAGAAACTTTCCTAACTCATTAACTTATCAAACGATGGCCAGTAATAAATTATTTTTATTTCTGAGAGTTGTTTATAAAAATAGTTGAACCCGGGAGCCAGCTACAGTGGTTCACATCTATAACCTCCAGTTACTTACAATGATGACACTGAGAGGACTATTCAAGGCCAACCAGACAAAAGTTGGCTGGACCCACATCTCAATCACTAAGGCAGGCATAGTGATGTGAGCCTGTGATCCCAAAGGCCATAGGTAGGATGTCTGTGGTCTGAGGCCAGTTGGAGGTAAAAGTGAGACTGTATTTGAACTAATGCAAAAAAGGCTGTCAATATTACAAGCAGAAACCCTTAATTCAAACTTTAATTCTGCCCCTCAAAAGACCCAAAAAAATAAACTCAAAGTCTCTCGAAGTCCATTTATGATTTTTTTTTTTTGGTGCCAGTCTTAGGTACTCAGGGCCTAGAGGTGCTTATTCCTAAGCTCTATGCTCAATACCAGCACTGTAGCAAGTAAACTTGAGCCACAGCTGCAAATCTAGACTTTTAGTGGCTAACTAGAGATAAGAGTCTCAAAAGACTTTCTTGCCCAAGCTGGCTTCAAACCTCAATCCTCCTGAGTAGTTAGGATTACAATTACTGTGAGCTACAGATACCTAGCTATTTGATTTTTTTTTTTTAATCTTGGCTAACTTGTAAATTCATGAACAAGTTTTTTGTTGCTGTTTCTAAATTCCTGAGGTGTGGGGATCTTCTTCCAGAAGAAATTATAAAATTAAGTATTTGCTAGATCTAATGTTAACAATTCCACATGGAGATATATAGTATTTAATCCCAAACTATGTATATTTAAACTAATTTGAAAGAAACAAAAATGAGTGACTAGACGAATTAATGGCAAGTTCATACCTAATAGTCCAGCATTTCCATCATCTTCATTTTTCAAATTTTCAGCATGTAAATCTGTAAGCACAAAGAAAGACTTAGACATTTTGAAATTTGAATAACTCCAAACCGTGGAACTTCTGGATTCAAATTGTTTTGATTTAGTAGCCATGTGATCTTAACAAGAAGACTTCGACAAGAGTTAAGTGCCACAAGTGTAAAGTGAGAATGTTTATTCTTTGGCTATCGTGAAGACACTTTATATACAGTAATTCAATTTAAGGGTGTACTAAATTTTTAGTTCCTCCTCCATTCTTCAATATATCAATGTTGCTTATAATGAACTTTCACTTACCATGAACATGTGATCTAATGATACAAAGAAATAACTTACAAAACTTTTAGGTTAGAGTGGAAAAAAAAAAGAGGGGAGTGAAAAAGAACTGCAACAGTGACAGCCAAACATTTAAGATCGACTGTTTACACCCGATACTACGTTAAGAGGTAAAACTCCCACATCAACTTGCTAATTTGTTTTCTGTATGAAAATCAGGCATAGTAAAAGCTGTTATGTACCATCTGGTAGACCATTAAGGGCCGGGTGTTAATGAAGAAAAATAAAATCTGGAGTTAAAACATATTTAATTTTAATAAGTAAAGTAAGTGTTGAGTCATTTTTTATACAATAAACTCCATTTGGTGCGTGTGTTTCTATATAACTTGGCCAAGATCACACAGAGAACTAAGACATAAACTAAAGATTCTACTATAACGTCCAACCGTATAATACATCTTTGTAAGCCTTAGCAAAATGAAACAAAATCCTCTCAAAGCACACCTACTTTTATTCCAATTTGGCAAGCATTTCAACTTCAGACACTGGAAAATGAAAGCATTGGAGGAAGAACAGACTACAGCTCCTTGTTACGAACAATACAAAACTGAGCGGTTATTTTCTCCGTAAAAACAAATTTGAGTTGCAGGATAGAAACTCTTGTCCTCCAGGAATCTCAGTGTTGACAGTATTCAGTGCATCGCATACCTTTTAACCATTTGTGGATTAAAGCTTTTGAACTCGCATCCTATTTTAATTACTGGCTCCTTTTAGAGGTGTTTTTTTTTTTGTTTTTTTTTTTTTGCATTTGGCTTGAATACTCGTAGTAATAATACACTCGCTAAGCTCATCTGTACTCATGAACTTCAAGGTATTTCAGGGAGTACCCATTACATCAAAAGATCCTTTTCTAAAATGTCTCTAAATCACCGTGGACCACCAGGGCCCCCATCTACCAGGATCAAAGGACAAAAGGAGGGAAGCAAAGAAAGGTGCGGGTCAGGGGCGTTGAATAAAAGCGGCTGCCAGGTGGTCTTTGCAGTCGGGACTGGGAAAAGATGAGAGAGGAGGCGAGAGTCAGGTTCTGGCTCCACCGTGCTCTGCGCCGCGGCGTTTCAGTACCTTTAACGATCAGGTAGGCGATGGCGAGGAGGAAAGCCAGGAGCACGGCGAACAGCAATGAACAGAGAATAGAGAGGATCTGGACAGGCCAGCGGCGAGCTGGGGCCCGGCTGCCCTGGGCCGCAGGGAAGATCCCGTTGCGCTTGTCCGGCAGGACCGGCGACCCGTCGCCGTCGAGAGGGGGCGGCGGGCCCCTCCGGGGCTCCGACAACGCCCCAGCCGAGAACTCCGCCCTCAAGTCTCGGGCCACGGGCTCGCAGCCCTCCTCCTCTTCTTCTCCCTCACCCCAGCCGTCCGTCCGCGTGAAGGCAGAATACTTAGGTCTAGCCAGCGGGGTTTGGGTGACTAGGCGGTTACGCCGCGGAGCCGAGGCCGTCCGGCTCTCCACGAACGACATGGCGGGAAAGCCCTGGGGCTGCCAAGATCCCGCGTCGTCGGCCGCCCCGCCCCGCCACGGGACCAGCCAATCGGCGAAGGACGTCACAGCGGCCGCTCCCTCCCCCCCCACCACGCTGGGCACGCAGAGCACGCAAGGGCGCGTCTGACGGGGCGAGGAAGACAACTCCGGGAACCACTGACGTAGACCGGAGCCCCGACCCGGACCTTAGGCCGAAGCGGGACGGAGGCGGAACAAGGCCCAGTCTCCCCTCACGCCGCGTTTCGTCCAGGCCCGGAACCTCGACCACCGCCGCGTCGTCTCTGGCAGGCGCGCGCCCCCTGCAGCCCCCAAGCCAAACCTCGACGCGAGGTCCTAGCGCCCGCTCGCGTTGACACCCGACACACACCCCCTCGTTTACCGGCCGCTTCCGGGGCCCTGTACGCCCACACTCCCCCGGGGAAAGCTGCCTCGTATTCATAGCCCTTCTGCTGCCCGACCCGGCCGCCCTGACATTAACGGTCCACTCCTTCCTTGAGCTTCGTTCTTGCCGCGCTGACCGACACGCACCCTCCCCTCGCCTGCCCTCCGTCGCGAGCACGCGGCGCGGGTACGCGCGGCCCCGGCCCGCTAACGCCATTCGCTGCCTGCCCCGCCCCCACCCCACCCGCCCCGGGCCGCCTCAGGTCTGTGGGGCGTTCGTAGCTCGGGCGGAGGGTGGTGAAGGTGGTGGACCCCTCCACGCCCCTCCCCCTACGGGGCGGCTAAGCCCGGGAAGCTGGAGCACAGTTGTCTTTCCTTTCCGGGGGAGGGAGGGGGGGAAGTTGGTGGAGTTTTCCCGGCTGAGGACTCGGCGCTGAAACTTGGTCCCCCTTCTTTCCCCACCCCCTCCTTGCAGGCGACGCCGAGCGAGGCTGAGGCTGGGGGCGAATCACCACAGAGCTGCGTGTCGACCGCGCACTCTGATTGGACAATTGAGAAGCCTGTCAGTTTATTGGCCCCGCTGATCCCGCCTCGTAACTCAGGGCAGCCTTTACCCTTTGGCCCGAGCGGGCGCCAGCCACTCAGATCGCTTCTTGTTGGTATGTGCAGCGGCAGTGGCCGCCGGCAGAGCAGTCTGAGCCCGACGATGAGGCCGGGAACGGGAGCTGAACGTGGAGGCCTCATGGTGAGTGAAATGGAGAGCCAACCTCCGTCGCGGGGTCCCGGGGACGGGGAGCGGAGAGTGTCCGGCTCAAGCCTCTGCTCCAGCTCTTGGGTCTCTGCTGACGGCTTCCTGAGAAGACGGCCTTCGGTAAGGCATCGGCGGGGCAGGGAGAAAGCGGCACAATGAAACTCGGAGTCAGAGAGACAGGAAGCTTTCTCCAAAAGGAGAAGAAGATAAGAGTGGACGGAGGAAGAGCTCGAGATGGTGGGATTCGACCTGAGGGAGAGAAATGGAGGGCGGGGTTGCACAAAGAGAAAGCTGTGGGACCCTGGAAGTTCCCAGCACTTTTGGCCTAGACAGATGCGCGGTGAAGGTTCCGGGCCCTGGGCGGGCCAGGCGTCAGGTAGCCCTAGGCCCTTTTTAGGATCCGGAGATTTGATTCTGGAGGATGTTAAGAGAGATGGCCCATTTTTTTTTTTTTTTTTCTTTCAGTAGTAGTGGTGGTCTGCAGCCAGTGTTGCTGGGAGAACGGACAGGGGACAAGTACCTGGTTCCAAACCAGGAACAATGGACACATGTAAAGAAAGTAGTTATCTTTCAAAGGGCATTTAAAATGGATGAATTAGTATTTGACATATAGTGTCAGTGGGTGACAGAATGACAGTCTTCGAAAGTGTGCTCCTAGCAAAAGGAATTTTACCTTTTTCTAAACCAGAGATTAGAAAATAATTGATGGGTTTGTGGAAGTGAAGTGTGCGGCGGACCTGTACTGTTTAAGACCAGACCTCCCCTAGGTTAATTTGGTAAATTCAGCATTTTAAAGCTTAAACTCAGTAGCACTATAAAATACCATTATCTGTATTAAGTGAGAGAAAGTTGTCATTTCACTTCACTGTAACGTTTTTTAAGTTGGCATTAAAACATGCCCACAAATTAAGCAATTAGTCACTAATTAAGGCAGCATGGGTGACCTTATGAGCACCTATTTGGTCAATGATTTTAACTTTTTCCACTTTGTTATGAAACTTCAAAACTCCTTAAAAATACCACTGCAGCTTATTTTTTTAGAACAAGATGGTATAAACGAGTCCAGTAATTTAATCACACATTACCTTACTGTGCCACTGAAAGTAAGTAATGGTTGAAGTGAGATTTTTTTTTTTCTCCCCTTTTGAGAAGCAGTTAATGTGATTTGCTAATTTTTGAATTTTCACTGTTTTCCAGATGGGCCACCCTGGCATGCATTATGCACCAATGGGAATGCACCCTATGGGTCAGAGAGCAAATATGCCTCCTGTACCTCATGGAATGATGCCACAAATGATGCCTCCTATGGGAGGGCCGCCAATGGGACAAGTAAGAACATTATGTTTTTGTTTTGGTTTGTATTTATTTTGTTCTTAAGTTTTATTGTGATAAGATTACAACATCTAGGTCGATCTTAACATTTGTAACTGTTTAAGGATTAGTTTATGCTCAGATAGTTTTCAGGTAAGACAAATATTGAATCATGACTGTAACCAAATTTTGAATGTAGTGGAAAAGTCTGTATAAAACTGTGTATCGACTACTAAAGCAAAATTAAGAATTTTTAAAATTTAAAAGTGACATTGCACATCTAAACTTAAATGTTTTTTTCAAGCATCTCAAGTGAAGTTAATGTTCTAAAAGCCAATATTATCTGATCTGTCAACATAACTTATTTTGGTGGACCATGTAAATATATAGAATCAGAAAAAATAATTGTTTGGCTTAGAACGAGTTTGATTTTTGAAATATCTTCCTCTGTTGGGGTATTGGGGAAATTTTTCTGCTCTGTAGTTCTGATTCATCATGGAACAATGCCTGACGGGTAGTTTGTTTTCTACCTATGTTATTTTATTAATGCTTATTGCTTCTGCACTCCTGCTTATGAGCTGCCCCTTCCATCTCCAGCATAAATTGTAAACGGACATTTTGTTAGTGATTTGGGCCAGAAGGTTTTAATGCTATCGCAGTGATTTGGTAGAACTGAATTGTAGAGAAGGCATCTAAAAATGACAATAGGTTGTTACCATGAATCATATTGTGCCCTATGCTAGGTTTTAGAATACATTGATATTTAGTTGGCTGGCTTATTTCCATATCATGATAAATCATGAAAAATTTAGATTAGCAAAATATTTTGGAAAAATTAGTTTTTTTCTTTTGTTAAGGAGTATTTTGCTTTGATAATTATTTAAGCCTTGATAACTTAAGTTATTGGTGAAATTGTAGTGGAAAAAGAAGCTTGCTGTGTCTCTCTCTTACTTAACAGTAGAAGGGCTCAGTGTGAAGTGGTTCTCTTATATTTAGAATATAGCCCTTAATTTTGTATAAAAGTCTTTATCCAAAGGCACCAAACCCAAAAAATATTGCCTGCAGGAGTTCTATATATAAAAAACTTTTATTCTATTGTTCTAGAATAGCACAAGTTTTAAAACTCCTCCAGAGATGCAGAGAAAACTCTGATTCCTCTTTTCTGTTTCTTCCATCTCTAAACAACAAAGAGCTCTTCTGTTTTCTTGGTAGAGCTACTCTAACTAGATAATGAGCTTTAAAAAATATTTATTCTTTAAATGCTCTGGTTCTTATTTAAAATTAGTTTCTTTCCACAGAAAGATAAAATAAAACAATTTGCTACTGCCAGATGCTTCTATCTTTTCTGGGGCCTTCTGTTTCCATTGGGCCAATCAAGGTAAGTTTTGCAAGGGATTGACCTGCTTACCCTTGCTGTAATGGTGCTGTTGCACTACCAAAGCCAAGATACCAGCTAGTCATTTCTAGTAACATGCAGATTTTATTTTTTAAAAGTATTTTTGTGCATCTTACTGACAAGCTGGTCACAGTTTAGTTTATATAGCACTTCCTCTTTAGTTGTATCAGTGACCACCTTCCTAGTAAGTTACTTGCTAGATGATATATGTACATTATTTACTATTCCAAATTTTGTCTTGTGGTTTTCTTCCACCCACCCCACCCCTCGGACAATATATTTCATGCACTTTCAATATAATTGGTTAATTTTTTTCTCCCATTGTTTGCCGCTGTTAGGATAATGAGTGAATGTTTTAGTAGTCCAGTGAAATGCTATTATTTTCTCAAAATTACATCATTCTCTACTATTCAAAAAAATGTGGATCCTAATTTGATAAAGCTAAATCCTTTATAAGACACTAGAGAAAAAGAGAGAGAAACAGACAGATTGACTGACTAGAAGAGCATGGATAAACTGAATCATCAAATAATTCATGCATCTTATTTAAATCTCTGCAAACATTTCTTTAATGACTAAAGTCTCAGAATTGATTATTTTTTTGTGTTATTCCTTCTGTTTACATATACCTAAAGGTATTAATCAGTAGTAAGTGATCAGAAGATAATTGGGAAAGAAGCAAAAGGTGCTTTCATCATTTGTAACAGTAATGGTAGAGGTTAGCCAATTTAAAAAAATTTTAAATTTGTAGATTTTGAGAGTGAAGTTTATAAAACTTTCATGTCACTACATAACTGTGAAGTTCCAGATCCATGGAATAAACCTACGATTTGAAAATAAATTGCCTTATATAGAATACTTACAATTTTTTCCTTCTTCCCTAAACAATAGAATGTAATAGATATACATACACATATAACATACATATTAGGTACGATAAATCAAGAAATGATTTAAGTATGTAAGAGACAATATAGAGTTCTATGCAACTACTGTGACATTTGGCATCTGGATTTTGGTATCCATGAAGAATTCTGGAACCAATCCTTCAAGTACAGAGGGATAACTGTATTGCTCACATTTCATTAATATACCTTGCTAGAACCAGCTGAAGACCAAAATAGGTGGAAATATTTTTAAAAACTTACTATATAATATGTAGACCAGACAGAATAATGACATGGATAGGGAAGCTAGAG